TAAAAAGCAATGGAAAGAAAAACCAAGGAAGCTGTGTGGACGGGGAAAGACAGTCTGGGATTTGGTGGGGTTTTCCTTTTTTTAACAGACGATTACAGCTGTGTACACGGTGGACGGTCCCAGGGAGGGCAGGTCTTCCTCTCCCCTCCACCAGGGCCTTTCCCTGGAAGATCTGTGCAGCACAGAGGTCTCCACATGAGATTATATCTTCCCTCCTATCAGGGAGTTAAGGCATCCTGGCATTTGTGGAAGGATAAAGATGGTTGGTGATGGCTTTGCTTTTAACATCCCATCTGGAGAAAGGAAGAAAGTAAAAATATAATAATAATAAAAGTATAAATATAAAAATAATAATAATAAAAAGGAAGGAAGGCAGGGAGGCAGCAAAGAGAAAAGTCATCTCCATCTTCATTCTCTAAATACATAACTATTTTTTAATATACTTATTGATTTTGGTGGGGAGGGGAGAGGGAGAGAGACATAGAAACATCAATGATGAGAATCACTGATGGGCTACCTGCCTCCTGCATGACCCACCCTGGGGATCCAGCCCACAACCCGGGCATGTGCCCTGACCAGGAATCGAAGTGTGACCTCCTGGTTCATAGGTCCATGCTCAACCACTGAGCCACACCAGCCGGGCTAAATATGTTTTAATGAGATGACCGAATAGATACTGGTCATCTATTGATGTAGCTCAAGAGCTGCCATGAGGTAGCTCTTGGCGTGGGGCAGAGATCTGAGTTCTCTGCTCTGTCCCTTTGGAAGTGGGCAGCTCCGGACAAGTCCCTGCCCGGGGGGCGGGCCTCAGCAGCTGCCCAGGGAAAGGAGCCACGGACGGACGGGCTGTGTTCCGGGGGGGAGAGAGGGGTGGCAGGAGGCTGGAAGAGCAGGTTTGCCAGATAGAGGACACCCTCCGGAGCCAAGGCACAGAGGTGGGGGAATGTAGCCACCCAGGGGCAAAGCTGGGAGGGGGATGGAACGGGACAGGCCCGATGAGGGGTCCCTGAGCACCCCGCAGAGGAGAGAGAAGAGCTGACCCACACGCAGGGCCCGGAGAGACGGGGACGCACTTGGAAAAACATGTCGCCCCGGAAATCTGCAGGGCACTGTTCCGCCCCGGGGCGGCCTCCGGACCGAGCTTATCGAGGCTGCTGCCCCCCCCCCCGCCCCTCGCCCCGCAGCCCCCCCCCCCGCCCCGGGGTGGCTGTGGGGGAGCGCTATCTGGGGGAAGCAGGAGTCGCCGGGAGAGTAAATTTAGTTTAATTTAAACAGCGACTTCCCAGAGCCCGGCGGGGGGCAGGGGACTGGGGATTACTCAGCCGCAGGAGGGAAGTGACTCGGTTCGCCCAGGAAACGGGCACCTGTCTAGGCTTCCAGAACGCCTCTCGGCGGGCGAGGAAAGGAGACGGCTGGCCGTTCAACTACAGAGTCAGTGGAAGCAGATACAGCACCACGAGCCCCTCCACCCCAGTCTACAGGCCGCCCCGTGCACAGCACTGACACCCCGACTCCGCTGGCTGTGTGCCGACCACGCCCCAATCAAACAACGCCCCGGCCCAGCCAGCCTCTGCTGCCCCTGCCCCACGCCCCCTGACCCAAGCTCACGGCCCCTGAACCCCAAGCCCAGGGCCTCCCTGAACCCTAAGCCCAGGGCCAGGGCCTCCCTGAACTCCAAGCGCAGGGCCAGGCCGTTCTTTCTGCAGAAGGAGTGTCCCAGGCGCCAAGACTGCTCTGCTGCTGGGTTGTTAAAACAAAGGCATTAAAATTGCTATGTCAACTGTCATCTTTAAATAAAGATTTAAGCCCAGCAATAAATCTGAACTTAGACCCGAAAGTTTAATGGGATAATGCATAACAGGACGGAGGGAGGGCTGCTGAGAGGCTTGGCTGGCAGATGGGGATTCCGCCCGCCCCCTGGGGGATCCCCCTGTCCCCCAGACTCGGTCAGGTCACAGGGCTGTGGCTTTGGCCTTGGCTTTGCTTTTCAACTAAGCAGCATCACAGTTGCCATCAACAGTGCAGGTGGCTGCGGGGGGCAGGATGGGGGGCAGAATCCTTCGGGGGGGGGGGGTCTTCACACTTTCAGGAACATGAGAAGCACCGGGGAGGGGGGGGCCTGTGGGCATGGGGCCACTCTCCCTCCAGCCTCGGTCCCCAGGACTGAATGGGAGGGTCTGGGGAGAGCTCCCTCCTCCTCCACCCCCGTGTGGCTGTGGAGCACATTCTGAGAAACCTCAGGGAGGAGAACAAGGGAATCCCACCTGAAACCTTGGAATTGGGGACCGGGAACGCCAAACCCTCCGCTTAAAGACAGCGTCCCCAGTGAGAGAAGCAGGAAAAGTCCAGAGTAAAAGGCGCTGGGAGACGGGGCTGCAGCCAAGACCAAATCAGGGGTCCTGCAGGGGTGGGCCCTGTTTTTGTGGGGCCACTTTAAGAAAATTAATTCAGCCCTCGCTGGTTTGGGTCAGCGGATAGAGCATCGGCCTGCGGATTGCAGGCTCCACCCCCAGTGTGGGGCATGCAGGAGGCAGCTGACCAGTGATTCTTTCTCATCATGGATGTCTCTATCTCTCGCTCCCTCTCCCTTCCTCTCTAAAATCAATAAAAATATATATTGAAAAATTTTTTTAAAGAACCACACACACAAAATCAATACAGGGTCCCGTGGATCACGTGGCTTCACAGTACCTTTGCCTCGGGGCCCACATGCCCCCTTTCTGACTGGCTCCTTCTTTTGCTGGGTGAGACCCGACTGGCAGGACCTGATTTGTCTTTTCCCGTCAGGGGGACAGACTTTAAACCTAAACATCGTAAGGAATACACAACCCGTGGACGCCAGGCAGCCAATTCCAAATCATGATCTTTTAGCTACTGACCTCCCTACCAGCGACCTAACCACATTCTCTCCGCCTTCAAATGCCTTGTCCTGAAAGAGGCACATTCCACTGGTGTCCCTGAAACTGCCCCCAATCTTTCTGGGGTGCATCCTGCCCACATGCAATAGTACCCTAAAACAGTATCTGGGCCATAACTCTGTCATTCTGTTTGGGAGACTTCAAACCCAAAATGATCCAAAGCAACCTGAGCAGGGATGTTCGCAGCAGCTCTGTTGTAAGAGGAAGGGGGGGAGGAGGAGGATGCGCCAGGCATTGCCCTAAGGGCTTCATATGCCTTAGTGCATTTAACCCCACATCTCTATGAAGCCCACTTTACAGATGGGGAAATCGATGCAGAGGCGTTTCGGCAAACCTGGGGGTGGAGGGGAAGAGACTTAATTGTTAGCATTTGCCCATTTCCATGATGTAAATATCCAATAGCAGCTCATTTCAAGCTAGGTATGGATTGGTAACCAGCTCCCCAATTTCCCAACAATTTAGCAGCTGGCTCAGGGGTCACTAAATGGTCATCAGGGTGGGAGCCAGGAGTTTAACTCCAGAGTGCAGCCTCCGGCGGCTGCTCCACACATCTGTGAACGTCCGGCAGGAGGGAATGGCTAAACGGAACACACACACGGAACTGCTTTGGCCCGCAGTCCATACGACCATATTTCCATGACCACTAACACTCATACATGCGCCTTACAATAACCCTGTGGTGTTCTACTTCATTAGGGTTGTCCTGAATATTAAATGCAATGGTCTGCATAACCAGACGAAGGGGAAATCAGCTCCAATTAAATGCTCAAAAAGGGGAAATTCCCGGCTGGTGTTGCTCAGTGGTTGAGTGACAACCTATGAACCAAAAGGTCATGGCTGGATTCCTGGTCAAGGTCCATGCCAGGGTTGCAGGCTCGATCCCCAGTTAGAGGCAAGCAGGAGGCAGCCGATTCGCTCTCATCATTGATGTTTCTCTCTCTCTCCCTCTCTGAAATCAATTTTAAAAAATAAATGTTTGTTTTTTAAAAGGTAGCTATGATTATTCCACCTTGTAGATCCTTATCTGCATAGACAGACAGGTTCCCCGGCTCCTACGTGGTGGAGAATAAGATTCAGGACCCAGCCAGTCCGGATCCAGGCCATCCCCTAACCACAATGTCCCCCATAAAGTGGTCTGAGATGGAAAGAGGGTGGGGACCATGTACAGACTCAAGTTATTCTGGAAGTGGGAGGCAGCAGGAACGCCTCTGAACTCCTGAGCCAAGCACACCTGGATTCTTCATCACCAGTTACCTCACAGCTCCTGCCTCGGCTCCCTGGGCTGTGGAGTGGCCAGGACCAGAGATATCTCACCAGGTGGCCCTAGAGGTGATGGGCAGTTCACAGAGCAGAGTGGACACAGGCCTGGGCCCACATGGAGCACCCAAAGGGGCATAGCTATTACTACAAACAAAAAAGGTGGAATCGAGGACAGGTTTCCTCTTCACGGTGGGAGTTTGGTTGATTGGTTGGTTAGTTAGTTGGTTGGTTGGTTGGTTGGTTGGTTGGGGTTTATTGTCCTATCAGGTTGCCCCAAATTGTAGCTCAGGCTGGTCCAGAGTGACAGCCAAGACGAAACCCTTTGTACCTAATGTCAGCGCTTCCCTGACAGAAACGACAGCGGGGTCCTCTCCGCCCACCCTCATAGTCACGGTGTCCCCACGTTTTGGCTGCAGGTTCGGGGCTGAAGGCGCCCGAGGCCAGGTCCCGCCGCCTCCCGGGCGCCCAGCGGGCACCCCCGCCCCGGCGCCCGCGGCGCAGACAGGCGGCTCCGGAGCGGGGACCCAGCGGCGTCCGGAGCCCACACGACATGCAAAGTTTGGGGGGTTCCGCATCTCCTCTCCCCCCGATCACCGAAAAGAAGACGCTCTGGTTCCTCCTTCCGCCAAACTTCCTGCCGGAGCCTCCCGGGCGGGCTCCGCGCTCCCGCCGCCCGGAGCCGCCGCTGGAGCAGCTGGAGCAGCTGGAGCAGCTGGAGCGGCGGAGCCGCCGGGAGCGCCCAGCCGCGCCCCAGTCCGGGCGGGAGGGGAGGATGCTCGGCGGCTCCTCGCGGGCCCTGGGGCGCCCCGACCCCCAACTTACCTGACGGCGGCCGCTTCCTGCTCAGCCGGCTCACCGCGCGGTTGAACATCTCCGCGGGCGCCCGGCGAGGAAGGGGGAGCGGCCCGGCCGCGCGGCGGCTGAGCGGGAGGAAGGCGAGGAGGAGGAGGAGGAGGAGGAGGAGGGAGGAGGAGGAGAGAGGAGGGAGGAGGAGGAGGCCGAGGAGGACGAGGAGGAGGAGGCCGAGGAGAGGAGGAGCCGGCTCCGCGCCGCCCCGCCGCCCTCCCCACCAGGCGCCGCGTGGCGCGCTCGGGGTGCCCTGCCCGCCCGCCCCGCGGGGCCTCGCAGTCCCGCCCAGGGGTGCCAGGCGGCCAGGGTGGGCCCGGCCGCCTCCCGACGCCGGACCCCGCGCCCGGGATGGAGACGCTCGCCCGGCAGATCCCGCGCCCCCGCCCCTCCTCCCCCCCCCCCCCCCGGGATTTGGGAACCGCGCCCCAGAGGTTCCCGCGTCCCGGTCCCTGGACTCGGGCGATGCCGCCCCGGCCCCGCCCGTCCGGCTCCCAACTCCAGTCCGTCCCGGGCGCCCTCTTCCTGCGGCCCCGGACACGGCGCGGCGTGCACCTGGCAATCGGCACCCCGTCTGGCGACGCCCAACTTGTCACTCATGTGCCCGCCTCTTTATTTTCCGCGTCGAGGTGACTGTTCTCCGGGGAGGGGCGCTGCAGGAACCCCCCGCGGGAACCCCCAGCTCCGGTTTCCAGCCCGGGATGCCGAGGCCTCGCGGTTCTCCAAAACCTTCCGCTTCCCCGCCCACCCCCCACCCCCGCCGGGGTCCGGGGTCCGGGGTCCTAGCGCTCCCCCGCGTGCCCACCGGGGGCTCTGGGGGCGCTGGGCACACCCGCAGATGCCGGTGGGGCACGGCCAGGGTCCGAGCCGCGGTTCCCCCAAGAGGGATGAGCGGAGCCTCCGCGGGCGGGCGCCCTCGCCCCACGCGCACGGCGCCGCCTGCCCTGGGCCTTCAGGCTCCGGGGGCGGGTCGGGGGCAATGCTGTGGGAACCCCATGGGCTCCATCGCAGGGTGATGCCTCTCCTGTGCCCGGAGGCTGGCCCGGGACCCACTTCTCTAACTTCGGGGCCACGTGGCACGCCTTCCGCGCTCCGGCTCTGCTGTTTCCCCTCCCGCCGCCCAGCCAGCCGCTTCGCTCCGAGCAGCGCGCCCCACTCCGATCTATTATCTCGTTTCTTCTGCAAAACACCCCGAGAAGGCATGTCATTAGCCCCGTTTTCTTGAGCATTTGCTTTGCAAAGAATTGCCTTTCTGGCGAGTCTTATTTTCCTCCTTGTGATCTGGCTTTGTCTCTAAATTGGACTTTATTTTTAGCTGGGCTAATTGCTATTTTTCTAAACCGATCCCCAGTCACTGCCCCCACCCCTTTCACTCCCCCCCCCTTTCGCAATATTTTCTCTAGTTGGCACTTTCTTTTATATCTTCTATTCTGAGCTTCCCGTTCTGCTCGTTTTTCCGCCCACCCTCTCAGTCCCGGTTCACCCCATCTCTGGCCCTGGGGTTGCGTCTCCTTTCTCCCGCTAGACACCCCCTCACAGCCAGTGTCCTCTGGTCTTTCTAAGCACGTTCCCGCTCTGCTCCTGAGAGAGGCTTTTCCGGTCCTGAGAGTTCCAGGAGTTTGGGGCTGCAACTCCACGGTGATAAGGAAAAAGGTTAGAATCCGGCTCAAAAGCTCAATGTTTTCCTTTAAAACATTTTTATTAAACATTCAATGCACCCCGAAAAGTTGATCATATATGCAAAATGTCAAACCATGACAAAGCGAACCCTCCCTAAGCCCACCACCCATCGTCACCAGGGGTACATCTTCCCAGGGGTACAGATGGGCGGAGGACAGAACAGCCCCCTGGAGGCCAGAGCGGTTGGGAGGCTGGGGCAGTCTTGAGCTGGGAGGTGAGGGGTCTGAGGCAGGGCGGGCTCAAGAACTGCTGAGGAGGAAACCTGGGTTCGGTGGGTTGTCACTAGTTGTGTGATCTGGCTACAACCCCATCTCCCTAAGCTCCCGTTTCTGCATCTGCAAAGTATACTGGTGATAACTGTGGTTATTTGTGTTCCTAGCACCTAGCACCACACCTGGAAGAAGATGGCACAGAAAACTCATAGCCGCTGTTGTTACTTCCGTACTGTGTACGCTCCTAAATGCCGGCAGAACTTGGGGCTGGAACCCTCCGTTTCCTTCTGCGGAGAAAAACGATAAATGATGGGGATGTGCCAGAATCCCTGCCCTCACTTCCCGGGACGAGGGGCAGCGCGGGCCGGGGTCAGAGCCTGAGCCCACCCGAGCCCCGGCCCGGCCCCGAACCCCAGCCCCGGCCCCGCCCACGTCCCAGCTAGCCCCGCCCCCGACCGCGCTAGCCACGCCCACTTTCCAGCTAGCCACGCCCACGTCTCAGCGAGCTTCCCGCGCGCGCGCCCCGGCCGGCGACTTTCGGGGCCGACGGGCCGGGCGAGCCGCACAGCCTTGCGCTCCTGGGGCTCCGGGGTCGCCGGGGCCTCGCGGCCTGCGCCTCGCCGGAGGCCGGGGACCGAGTGAGTGTCGGCGGGAGCGGGAGGGGGCCGGCCGGGAGCCCAGAGCTCCGGTCCCGGAGCGCGGCCCGCGGCCGGCGGCCGTGGGGCGGCGCGGAGCTCCCTCCGCTGCAGGGGAGGCGGCAGCGGCCTCCGGGCGGGGTCAGGCTTGCACACCGGCCATCTCCCTGGACCAGCGTTTCCCAAACTCCCCCGGATGAGAATCCCGGCGGGAACATGTCGGTAAAACTGTGTGCTTACCAAGCCGAGAGCTCTAGGTGAGTATACAGCCTTACCTGGATGTTCCCAGAAATTCTGGTTCGGCGCTTCTTAGTTGGGATTCGGGAATCTGTAGTTTAACAGCCTCACCAGGTGCTTCTCATCGGGAGAGAAGTTTGGGAAACAAATGGTCCAGAAGATGACAAGTGAGCCTGACCCAGGAAATGAGGCAAGAAGTTAGGCCCCGACCCATGGTATGGAGGCTGCCTGGTCCACCCCCTGCCTTCCTGAAACACTCACACGCACACACACTCACACACACACACACCACATACACACCACACACCACACACACCCCACACACACCCCCACACACCCCACACACACACACCCCACACCCCCTCCCCACACACACCCCCCACACACACACACCCCACACCACCCACACACACGCACAGACATACACACACACATACACACACACACCCCACACACACATATACACACAGACACACACACACACATACACCACACACACACACACCCCACACACACACACACCCCACACACACTCTTACACACACACACAACCCACACACCACACAAACACACACACACACACACACACACACTGAACAGCCCTGGTGCGGCCTCGGCCAGGCTTGTGAGTGCTCCCGAGCTCAGACGGTGGCCAGGGCTTTCGGAAATACAGTGAAGACAGAACAGCTTCAGATCACTCTCGCTGTCCTGTGGGTGTATCGGTACACACTCTGGTAAAGGTTTAAACACACAGTTTAACTTTGCTTCAGGACAGAAAAGTCCGTCCTGAAATCGCCAGTGTCTCGTTTTGTGGGCGAAGACCTAAGAGCTGGTCCCCCAGGTGCGCGGGATGGAGGACAAGCGCCGGCCGCCCTGTCCAGGTGCAGCCATTCAGCGCCGCCTGTGGTTTGCACGTGGCTGCGGCGCCTGCCATCTGGGCAGCGAAGTCCACGTTCTGTGGATCGTCTCAGCCCTTCGCCGACCCTGGGAGTCCTCTGGGCAAAAAGAGGACAGCACGCTGGCCCCTTCCTACCCCTCCTGTTCCCCCTTTGGTTGAGCAGCCTTCGTTCAGACCAAGCAGGGAGCAAGAGGCCAAGATGTTATAGTAAAGCAGAATGTCCAAGTGATTATTGATTGACCTTAGAGTTTAATATTTTTTTATCCTACTCAGGAATTTTAAAATACTGGTAAGCTGCAAATACTATCACAGAGTCTCTGAACATATATTTTAGAATCTCTTACAAAGAATATGCTAGGCCATGTGAGGCAGGTGAGATAAAGTAAAATAGGTAAGGAAATTGTATTTGAGTCGAGCGATCCAGGTACCCATCCTGGCCACATAGCAGACCAGCTATGTGTCCCTTAACACAGCCCCCTGGGATTGGACAAGAGAAGGTTGCCACCCACATTCAAGGGTGTGGCATTCACAAGCAATAAACAGAGCATGTGGCACAGTGCCCAGCACATGTAGGCACACAAAAATGTACTCCAATCTCAATTACACCCCCTACAATGTTGTCTCAACAAATAACAAACTTTCGCCTAGACACAGTAAAAAGAGACATTTTTAAAAAAGAAACTATCGAAAGTTGGCAGGGTTAGTAGTAGTGATGCGATCGCCAAGCAGAATGAAGAGAGGCAAGTAAACTGTTAGGACTTCTCTGGAAGGCAAGAGAGGCTGGAGTGTCAAGATGCGCTCTTGGTAACAAATGTAAGAGCCTTCAGAATGTTTATATACCCATTGGACCAGTGGATAATTCCACAAATGGTTATGCCAAGGAGAGAAAAGATGCAAAGACTTATGTGCAAAGTTGAACATCACAACACTTCTTTTATCAGTGTATTTATGGTAGTTATTAATGCCCATTAATGAAATGACGAAGTTACAGTAGTATTCTATATAATAAAGAGGTAATATGCAAATTAACCCTCACACCCTCACAAGATGGCTGCCTATGATCAGGCTGGCACGGGGGTTAGTGAGGGATGACCAAACGACTGAACAAGCAGACTGTGTGGGGCAACCAGGCCAGTAGTGGGAGCAGTCAGGGTGACCAGGTTGGGGGAGGGGGGGCATGCAGTAAGAGGTGACCAGGCCAGTGGGGGGGAGCAGAGGGGCAATCAGGTCAGCACACAGAGGCAGTGAAGGGTGATCAGGCCGGCAGAGGAGGGCAGTTAGGGGTGACCAGGCAGGCAGGGAGGTAAACAATTAGGAGCCAGAGGTTCAGGATTGTGAGAGGGATGTCCAACTGCCAGTTTAG